CCCGCGCCGCCCCTGGCCTCCTTCGGAGCTGAGAGCGGTGTCCACATAGCCTCAGCTCTGGGCGGGCCCACCCCGTGGCAGGTGCTGCTGAGGCCCCAGCTCAGCCTGTGGGTCTCGCTGACCCTGAGGCCCCGGATGCTGCACTTCTGCCCAGACCTGGCTCTGGTGCCTCCTGTGCCTTCGGGTTCCCCCCTACACACCCTGAACCCCACACAGCCGCCTCCCTTGCCCCTGGCAGGTTCCTGTTCCCAGGAAGCAAGGCCTTGGTCTCCATGCAAGCGCATCAGTTCAATGCGGTGCTGTTATAGGGCCCCTGGGAAGTGCACACACAGTTGGGGCTGCAAAGAACTAAATATACTAATCAGCACAAAGTGGTCATTGTTCTGTGCAGGCGATTCTTTAATTACCGATTCTGTGGCTTCCTCTCAGTGTGTTAATATGTTGGTTATCCCCTTGACTAGAACATAGGAAGGCCGGCTGGATTTTGTGGGTGTTTGGTGTAAGTTTTATAAGGCACTATCTCAGTCATGGCCCAAGTTTAAGTGTTCTCAAAACTGACTTATCAGAAGTAGGAAAAAAGTGTCATGAATGTGACATAACCGTTCTCTCAGGAATAACATTTAATTCACAGCAAAAATAACCACAACTCAGGAGCTGCATGGGAACCACAGGCTCAGATATTTCAGCCAAGAAAGCTGCTGGTGCCAAAAAGACCTCAGAGGAGAAACGAAGTCAAACAGTTTGTGTTGTAATTGCTGTTTCAGACACTGCTTTTAAAGGGTGTCTAGTGCTGACATGAATGCTTGTTTTGATCTCTGTACTTGAGGATTGCAGCTTAACCGCGATGCCGCAAAACCCACTTTCATGTGGCCGTTGTCTCCGAGACAACTGGCATCCACCTTATATGCCACCTTATACAGTGTCCGAACTTGACTGGCTGTCAGTTACTGTTGGTAGAAATGTTCTGGAAGTAGTGGAGGGGGGTGTGCGCGCATGCATGTGCATGTGCATGTGCATGTGCATGCATGTGCATGTTTTCACCCAAAGCTCATCCACTTCTTTGTGGCAAGAAGCTGAATAACTTATGTTAATTCAAAGCTAGAATTGTTAAATTTGCAAACAAGCCTGACTGATTCATTGCCAGACTTATTTTATTCATGCCTTGGTCTTTTGGGTTTGGACCAGAAATTGGAATTGATTGCAATTATTATTTTTTTTAAAATATATTTTACTGATTTTTTACAGAGAGGAACGGAGAGAGATAGAGAGTTAGAAACATAGATGAGAGAGAAACATCGATCAGCTGCCTCCTGCACATCTCCCACTGGGGATGTGCCCGCAACCCAGGTACATGCCCTCGACCGGAATCGAACCTGGGACCTTTCAGTCCGCAGGCCGACGTTCTATCCACTGAGCCAAACCGGTTTCGGCTGATTGCAATTATATGCTTAAAATGAATTGGGGCTCAAAATTACTGATCACATTTGGTAGTTTCCTAAAGCAGTAAGTACTTCAACTTTTGATGAATTAAAAGTAATATGTTTTTGTTTGTTTCATTTCAGTATGCAGTGATCTGTTAGGTGTGCTTTTCAAATGAGGTGTCAGCCCCTGAACAGAAATGCCCTTAAATGTTTAGAGCCTTTTACTATAAAGTAAAACTTGTCTAAATACTTAAAATGTGAAGTGTGGAGAAATTAGTGTGTAGTAGTAGGAAAGGTAGGATAGTTATTTTGGGACATAAGTGCTTGTCTCAACCCAATAGATTCCTACCTGTCTATTGATTCACTTGCAACTAAAATGTAGCTGTAATACTAATTATGTAATGATTAGAGGCCCGATGCATGAAATTCATGCAAGGGGCTTGGCCCTCCCAGCCCTGGCCTGCCCTCACATCCCCGGCTTCATCTGGAAAGTGGTTTGGCTATTTGTTCTAATTAGCATAATAGCTGTTTATTATATAGGACTAGAGGCCCGGTGCACAAAAATTTGTGCACTTGGGGGAAGAGGGTCCCTTAGCCCGGCCTGTGCCCTCTTGTAGTCTGGGACTTCTCGGGGGTGACCACTTGCTGGCTTAGGCCTGCTCCCTGGGGGATTGGGCCTAAGATGGTAATCAGACATCCCTCTGGCAGCCCGGCAGCCCTCGGGGGATGTCCACTTGCCAGCGAGGAGCAGGCCTAAACTGCAATCAGACATCCTTAGTGCTGCTGAGGAGGCAGGAAAGGCTCCCACCACCACCGCTGTACTGGCAGCCCTCAGCCTGGCTTGTGGCTGGGCAGAGCTCCTCCCCTG